TTGTCTTGCCCAACATTCAAATTCAACGACACACGAATGCAAAGGACCGTTGTTACCATTAACAGCAATGGCCGCCAATCGGCGAGCTTCATTCGCGTGGCCGCCGCACTAGGATGGCAAGTTCGAGCGCAAATGCGAGACCTGAACGGAATAGTTGCACGGGAGCTGTCTGAATTGGAAAATGTCACTGTGTACATTGGCGCGCTGGAGGACAAGAAATTTCTCGACGATCTATTCAAGAGCGCGCAATGTGCGTTCATAAATACCACACACTGGGGAGACGAGGTTGCTATTGGTCGATCGCTTGCCGATGCCGCAAAGAAAGCCGGAATTCAACACTACATCTATTCGAGCATGCCAGACCACTCTGTGTTCGGCAACAACTGGAGAGCGCTTCCGCTATGGGCACCCAAATTCACAGTCGAACAATACATCCGCCAAATTGGTCTGCCTGCGACTTTCGTTTACTGCGGTATTTACCACAATAATTTTACCGGCCTCGATTTCCCGCTCTTCCGCATGGAGCATCAGTACGATGGGAGTTTCGTTTGGCAAGCTCCTTTTCACCCTGATCAGCCATTACCCTGGCTCGACTCGGAACACGATATAGGGCCAGCTGTATACCAACTATTTAAGGAAGGTCCACGAAAGTGGAATGGCAAGCGGTAAGCGTATTCTGCGTCTGCATATCCTGGTCCACATCATGCGGACAGTCTCCACAGTGGTTTAATCTGGTGGCGTCGCATCACCGGTTGTCAACCGTCGAATTTTCTGTCATTTTCTCATTTGCTGCTATAACGTGGCTGCGTTGTAGAGAAGCTGAAGTGCAAGAGTAATTTTCGATCATGTACTGACTAGTTTAGGATCCCCCTTGCGTTTGCATCCATGACCCCGAGAGAAGTCTGCAAAGCTTTTAGCACTGGTCTCCGGAGACCAGTCCGCTACAAGCGGGGCCCCATAATGATCAACGTGCCCACACCCACAGGTTATCGGGAGCACCTTTCCGCGCTGGAATACACGCTGGGAGAGAAAGGCGCGCCATACTTTGGACCTGATCTTGAGCCAGACGTTCCCAAGGTCTCTCTTGAGCTGTGGGAAGGAAACCGCTCCATGGAGGAGTACGCCCAGGAGGTGTTCCCGGTGGAAGAGGCTGCCAACGGTCTTACATGGATGGAAGAGGTAGAGACGCCTAGGAGAGAGATCGAGATCGACTTTGAACAGATCAACTGCTGACGGCTGGCTTCATCTTCCAGGGCGAGATCTTTCAGCATTCCAACGTTGTCCTAGGTTTAAGCGAGCAACTCAACCAGGCGCGACTTTAATTCCTTCGGTTCGACATGTCACCTTAGTTCCATCGGCGTCGGACGGTAGCATCTCAACGGCGTCTGGCCTTACCTTTCCTTTGGAGTATCGGGGTAGAAAAGCGGTGAATTGCATGGCTATGGGGTGCCTGAGACGGAAGTCCCGGATTCTCTCCGCGGGCCTGTCTGGTTATCTTTGTCCACTCGTGGTTTTGTTGCCTAACCTCGCGCAAGCATGGTGTTTGGGCTGCCTTTTTTTGTTTAGCATGGGCGGATGCGCTGCAGTATACCAGGACTGGCGGTGATCTGCATTTCCAAAAGTTATTTTCTTTTTAATCCACTCCACTAGGGAGACGTGCACATGACTGTTTGATAGAAGCGATACGGAAGTGCAAGCGACGTTCACACCGGTTGTGGTCAGTGCACTGCGCAACGGTGGTCTGGCATACATTTTAGTTTGAAAAGATACATGGACACATACGATGACGAGATAAAAATGCAAGATATCAGTGAAACATGTGGTTGTGATGGGAAAGCGAATCAATGCAAGCTGTGCGGAATGGATGAATGCTGACATAAGCGACATCGAATTTCCTGAAGCTGAACTTCGTGTCGACTACTCCACCTCCGCCCGCCAATGTCAGCCGCCATACCCTGCACGCGGGCTGCAGCCCAGCGTGTCGCCTTCAGAGCCATACGATGTAAACGATTCGCGAGCACTGATGCAGTTGCTGTCGATGCAACGCCCACGACACCCATATTACCCGCCAAGCGTGAACAGCGATTATCAACACGGAAGCCAGACCTGAGTCAACAGTTGCACAGGGCCTTGTACCCAGCGTTATATGGAGAAGATGGCCAATTCAAGGATGGAGAATTGGTGACCATCAAGCGTCGGAAACAGAAAAAGCCTATCGATTCCAAGTGGCAGCCAGTAATGAAGGAGAAGAGCGTGGACCGGGGATTGAGTACGACCGCCCTTTTCGTCGCCAGTCACGTCAATGCATGCATTACAAGATTGGATTGTATCTATCAATAAAAGTGCTAATTCCACCCTATAGGCCATCAATTCGGCGTCCCCGTCCTCAGACCGACAGCCTCCAACATCAAAAAGACTTGTCCAGATCCCATCTCCGCGGTAAACGCCTCGCAAATAAGCTTGCTCGATCCCACAGGCGCACGAACCCGCCTCTTCGCAAAGGACAACCCAGAATGCGCGCGAGTCGGCGACATTCTACTTGTACGCCAACGCACCGGCGATCCCTTTGCTGGTGTATGCATCAACATCCGACGCCGTGGTACCGACACCGCTATCCTCCTACGTGGCCAACTCACTCGCGTGGGTGTAGAGATGTGGTACAAGGTCTACAGCCCATTGGTAGAGGGTATCGAGGTTGTGCAGCGTGCTGCTAAGAGGGCGAGACGCGCCAGGTTGACGTACATGAGGACTGTCAAGCACGACAGAGGGAGTGTTGAGAATGTCGTCAGGATGTATCTCAGGCAGAAGGCTGCGCTGGGTACGGCAGAAGGACAGAAAAAGAAGGGTGCTGGCGCTGCAGCCGCCATGATGGGTGGCAAGAAGAAGGGCAGAGGCAAGAAGAGGTAGAGTCACGAGCGTGTATCACAACAAAGCAGCTCGGGTACCAGGGTACCATGATGAGCATACTGTACATATATGTACAATACCACGAGCAATAACTGACGACCTGTTACTTGGTGTATGATGTGCGGAGAAACAAGTGAGTTACATTATGAAGAACTCGGATATCTCAAAACGAGTGGTATCGCAAGAATCAAAGCTAAGCTCAAGCTCAACGCCTATTATCCTGTCTGCATTGATGCGCATGCCTAACACATTCTACCGACAGCCCTGACCCCAGGCCCCATTACCTCATATTCCAACCTTCACTTCAACCCTCAACTCTTCTGTTCATAGCCTAATGAACCGTCCCGTATCCCTGCTGCTGCTCCTGAACATAGCCCTGTTGTGCAGGTACACCCCCATATCCTGCCTCGACTCCGGCAGGTGCGGGCGCAACAGGCACCGTCTTATGACCACCATTTTGCACTTTTTGGCTGTAGATACCCGGCGCAGGACGCGCTTCGTAGATGCCAGCGCGTATCTCGTCGCGTCGCTTAATGTATACGTATTCAACGTAGAAGGCGTGGATGTGGCCGGGAAAGTAGCCGAGAATTGTGAGGAGCAGGTTGATGAAGAAATCGGCACCGCATCCCGCTACGAGGAAGACTCCGACAGGTGGAACTGTAGATTTGTTAACAAAGGTTTCGCGCAGGAAACAGACAGGGGAGGGCCTTACTGAAGATAGTGATCAGAATCAAGAGGAGTGTCTTAATCATCTTCGTAATTTCTTTCTTTCTCGCGCCTTGATGTACTCGGTGATGCGTTCGTGATATTCCAAAGTTGACGGCTGTTTGCGCTCTGAGTCGTACAACGGAGTGTGTGTGAAAGAATAAAAGCAACCGTATCCTTTGAATGACTATCGTTCCCTGGGGCACTCACGCGCTTATAAACAATCGTATGGCAACCACGCCCATGCGTAAACCTTACTGAGCGCATGTTCAAACGTCATGATCCTAGTCGTAATGTGGCTGATTGGCCAGCCACAGTGTGGCGCACAGACGTGGCGGTGGAGGCCGCGTAAGTTTGACGGTGTTTCATACGAACACGCCAGGATACGACTGGCCCCACGGGTGTTTAGAATTGCCTTGAGGCCTTCTTGAGGGGGCTTGACGGGGCCCGATGTGTATGGCAACGGTCGTTGGTTGGTGCTTTGGGTTAGGATACGACTGGCGACTGGGTGGGTCAAGAAGCTTGCACCTCTTTCACATCCACTCGCCCCTCAGCTTCGAATCCTTATTCTTGTCCAAGAAGAGGAATCCTATCTCACGTGTGTAGCTTATCATCCCCTCGTGGCTGTCATACCTTTCTTGCCGCAGTCAGGATAACCTAGACACGCCTTCTGCACTGCCCTTACTTCTCTCTTCCAGCACATGTTCATAGCTGAAGGTGATCTCCTCCACAATTGAGACTACAGAGATAACCAGTCTTTGGGACGCCTAGCTTATCCCAACATACGCCGAAGCCCCAGGGTATGCCTCGACCGAGCATGCAGACTGCTGTTGTACTTGCACGCTCTCATTCGCATGATTGTGCCAACCCAAGTCTTCCGACTGATCAGGATACAATTACTCGACACCAGTCTCGGAACGGATTATCCTCACGGTAGGCTTGCGAAGGGACTCCTCGTCGGATTGCCTCTGAACTTGGCATGCTAGTCGATTGAAGCGCGTAGCGTCATATGCCCGACCGACTTATCATGCGGGTATGCGGCATGGAGACAGCCCTACGAGGCTGAATGTACCAAGCCACTGCGCAACAGGATCCTAGCCCATATGTCACGCGCTTCATGAAAAAGGGCTTGCAAGGTAACGCCAATGGCGTTCCCACCAATCCTGCAAGTGCACCCTCTCGGTTATGGAACTCAAGGCCGGAACACCAAGTTTTGTGTACGCTGTGGCGTTCCATACGATAACGATACGGTTCTTGGTATTCCTAAAAGGTAAAAGTTACAACTTCACAACTCGGTGCCTGGAGGCATATATAGTATGGCTTTCGTCCTGTCAAGACTTCGAGATAATGGCGCGCATTTTGATTCACCAGCCACCATAGTAACAGTCATGATCGCGAATATTCCTAAATTCCAATTTCCTGCTCCTGGACCAGATCTACCGTCTTGGCCAGCATTCACCAATGAACCGTTCAAACCCGGCAACAACCCGTCTGATCACATGAGGATATACCTGCAATATCTGCTTGACGACAGAGACAATTACCCTGCCGATGGCTTTGGACCAGGGACCGCTCCCGTTCAGATACACGACATCATAGATCCGCTTTTCATCGGGTCGAATCCGGAGTCCGATACTACATGGACAGATTATATCCATTCCGTACAGATATATTGTTTGGTGTGCCCTCCTTTGGAGAGCGGCGGCAAAAGAGGAGAAACAGACGATTTAGGCTGGCCCTTCTGCGGCGGCGACATCCAAGCCATCCAATCGACGTCTCCGGCATCCGATGAGATAACTGGCTGGACTCCACAAGGTCAAGTTGATCAAGGACTTGTAGTGCCAAAACCGAGTGACGGATGGGAGAACACAAGTTTGGCATGTACACTTGGCATGTACATGACTTTCGACGTAATTGACGCGACAGTCCCGCTCTACATGAATCGTCCGAGTGTTAGGAGCCAATTGTTCGTTGTGTCTAGCACACCACGAGACGGCGCATCGGACTTTGGTGTGCTGATGCCATACCGATACAGCGCGTACTGTACCCATGGCACACAAAACGGGACTGCCTGCAATGAAGCAGAGCCTCCTTACTCGACAAGCACTTATGATTCTGCACCTACATCAACCCAGGACACGTGGGATACGTTGTTCCCCACTTCTATCTATCCAGCTCCAGCTCGAAACTCCATCGATGTCTGTGTTCCATCGAGGTTCAACAGCTGTCGGAAAGATGGATGGTATGGATGGCCGATTGGGCAGCGCGTTGGAGTTATCATTGGCGTGGTAGTCGGTGTCATCGTTATCATACTACTATTGCGCCGTATCCCACCGTCCGTGTGGTCTCATAGGCGAGAGAAGGCAAGACCGCTACTCTTGAGCGAGTTACGCAGCCAACAGGCTACGGAAGAGGGAGCTGCAGCTGAGCGACGTTATGTTGGAAGGACACGTGGGGAACACGCAAGTACTTCAAGAGGCAACGGAGACGCAGTAGAACAACCCGTAGAAGATGTGCCCCCAACATACAAAGAAGCGACGAAGGATCGTAGGCGTGGTTCAGGTGTAGGTCGTCCGCGAATGAACGAACATATATCCACAGGATGGCCACCAATGTACGCAGACGCTGTACAACAACCTGCACCCGTTGCAAACACTCCACTGCGAGTTCCCTATCCGAGCCTTCCCGCGTCCCCACCAAGAAGATAAAAGAAAAAGCCAACTGCATGCGGTGTCAATGCCCGTTCGACCGCCGTAAACACCTCAATCTTCGCCATGTGTGCAAGAGTAAGCATGCCAAGTCCCTTTGTTGATACAATCGCTCACCGATCTCTGTATCCGAGCCAGGAGATGAGGCTCGAGTCCAACCAACAACGGCGATGAGCGGCCAGTCTGCAGACCCAAGAAAAGAGGGGAAACTCGACGCATGCAGCTCCTGCGTCAAGCCTTCATCTGGGCAAACGCGCCTTTGGGGGCCGTTTTGGCATATGTTATGTCGCAATTGGTGAAACAAGAGACCAACCGGTCTGGCTGAGAAGATGATTGGGCATAGATCGGTGTGGATGCTGTGTAACATCAAGCATCAGCCTTACGTTGTGAGATCAGCTTGGTGTAGATGTATACTAATTCATGGGACGAGCAGAGCTTGTGCCTCCTATATATTCTACTAGCAATACCCATTTTATGTTTCTTATAATGGATGGTCTACACATCTGCTGAATTACCGTTGTTGTAAGTTATTGTTCTTGTTCCATCTGTAGTGTTTAGTGATAGGTCGAGCACTGACAAATGTTCAGTCAGAAGATATAAGAATTCGGATTGCGTCTTCACGTCCACCATATCTCCTCATTGGGTATAGCAAGATCCTGTTTCGTCTTACTGGGGGTACATCTTTCAAAGCAGTCTGCATGTACTTAGAAGTCTCGTCCTTACATAAGAGCAAGCAGTAATCGGTCCACCACTGCTCGAAGCGCGTGTTTCGCATTGTTATAGCTATGCCGTCCACACGCCCTCGACCTTCTCGGGAGCCTACCAAAGAGTCAATCCGCACCGCCGTTATTGTCGGGCTCGTCATCGGTCTTCTCGGTCTCATCGTGTTGAGTTCTCTCCTCTACCAACGCCGCCTACGGCGAAACATAAAAGCTGGTATTATCATTGGAAAGTGGGGAGTCGAAAGACAAGAAAGAGGGGGTAAGACAACATGGAAGGCAGATGTAGAGAAGGGCTTAGAAGTCGGTATAATCCAAGAACCTTTGCCAGTTTACGCGAAAGAAGCTGTGAGGGGTGAGAAGCGATTAGAAATGGGTATGGTGAGGTAAAAAACTCGTAATTTCTTGTATTTGCGGCGATGTTATTCTGAACTCATGTGAGAATGGTTGTGTTAAGGGTGGTAGGACAAGTGGTCACTCACAGCCAATGCTACTAAAGCCACATGAAAGTTTTTCCCGGGGTATCATTCTGTCGTTCATTGTTGACGTTGTGATGTCTCTTCACTCTCTCCATGTAAACAGCTTCAGCCGGTGCGATAGTACTTCCCTTCGTGCCCGTCTGTACCATTCACACCATTGGCGCCTTCCTCAGTGTCTTCCCTTGCTCTCACTGTTCCGGCACCGGGTCCCAGCTCTTCTCCAATCACCATGCCACTGAAGTTACCATTCTCATCCATATACTCGTCCATGTTCTCAGCCGTTATCCAACCTGATGCACCGGGCGCTGTGTCGTCCAGTATATCATCGCCATCGTCATCGCTGGCATCTGGGTCCGGATGCAGGTCTGCGCAGGTGTTCAGCGCGGTGAATAGGTCTGTAATGCATGTCTCGGTGGGTTTCGAGGTGTACGACGGGGGCAGTAGGGTGACCTCGAGCATGTGGATGTCGTCGTCCTCGTTTACGGTGTCGGCGTCGTTGAGTGATATGTTCACGTATAGCGCCTCAATCGTAGTCTTGTACTTCATGGTCGCATGGAGGGCGAGAGAAGGATACGGGATCGAAACGCCGACAGGAGAGGGCGTGCTCTGAAACAAAACAACATTTCTAGAGCTCTGAGTTAGCACCTTCTGTGGGCGGCCAAATGGAATACCTACTCAGAGGACACCCAGACGTCAATGCCATCTACAAAGTCTTCTTCACCCTCGCGTCTTGAGCTGAACTTGCTAAACGCCGCGTCTTGCTTTAGCTGGTCAGCAGCGGCCACCAGAGTCATGCCCTCATAGTGAGCATGGAGAACGGGCTTTGCGCTGAAAAAGGACGTTGGGGTCTGCGATTGGTGTTCTGATAGCGGGGTGAAGTCGTCGGCCTTGGGGGCGTTGTCGAGTTGCTGGAAGGACATGGTCGGTTATTTCCAGATCGTTGCTATGGCTTGTGTGAAGTCCTGGAAGAGAGAGGAGTGACTGATGTACGTATAGACTGCGTAGCCTTGGGGATTGTTGACAAGATGTGCATAGGCAGCGATCAACCAAGGCCCCAAAAAGTCGCGGGAGCTAATCGAGCGTCATCGCCCCACCTCGGCCTTGGCAGGTACCGGATGCATTGCGCATGTCTCCATTCCCAGCGTCTTCACATGTTTGCAGGTTTTTTGCGCAATAGCGATGCGCGTCTTTGTCTTGCCATAGAGTCTCGCTAGAGATACGGCTAGTAAGAGCGCAGCAGCTTCTCTCTTTACCTTGTTCCAATCTGCTTCACCTCACCATGCCTTGAGCGCTTGTTCTCTATAGCTGCGGCATCTAACACATACACCGACTATCCTCCAACGACGCAGACGCATTCGCAGACGCCCGTAGATACCCTAATCTTACTATAAACAGTGTGCTGGTGTCGACCACATCGACATGTCTTTCCCGACAAAACCTATCGCACGATTGACTGGCCATGCCGGCATCGTCCATGCCGTCGCCTACTCTTCCGGCTCTCAAACCTACATTCTCACCGGCGCATCCGACCGTACCATCCGTCTTTACAACCCATCGAAAGCGCCGCCTACCTCAACCGCTCCTACCACGTCCTCACAATCGCCCCCGGGTCTCGTGAACAAATATACCGCGCACGGCTATGAAGTCCTCAGCATTGACGTCAACTCGGCCAACGACAAGTTTGTGAGCACAGGCGGCGACAAAACAGTTTTCCTCTGGGACGTGCAGACGGCGCAGACGGTGCGCCGTTGGACTGGCCATGCTGGGCGTGTGAACCGCGGTGTTTTCGGAGGCGAGGGCGACAGCATCATAGCGACGGGGTCATTCGATGGGACGGTCAGAATCTGGGATACCAAGTCCAATGCGTACAAGCCCATCATGACACTTTCAGACGCCAAAGACAGTATCTCTGATGTTGCGATACACGACGCGGATATACTAGCTGCGAGCGTCGACGGTCGCGTCAGGAATTATGATCTCAGAATGGGCATGTGTCAGGTTGATGTTGTAGGGCCGAGTTGCACGAGTTTGGCTGTTAGTAAAAAGGGTACTGAGGTTCTGGTCGGATCCCTGGATTCTACTGTGAGGCTCATGGACCGGACGAACGGGGAACTACTCAAAACCTACAAGGACGACGCCTTCGTGAACAAGCATTTGAGAGTCAGGAGCACGCTAGGCCTGAATGATAGCGTAGTGATTAGTGGAAGTGACGACGGCATGGTGTTTGCGTGGGATATGCTGGAGGGAACGTGTTTGTATAAGTTTAAGCATTCCGAGATGAGGGAAGTAAGAGGTGCAGCGCCCCTTATACCAACAAAAGCAAATAAGGACGTCGTGTCTGCTGTGGCCTTCTGTAAAACAAGGAGGGAGTGGTGTAGTGGTGGTGGCGATGGCAATGTCATTGTTTGGGGCATGGGAAGCTGAAGAGCAGAAATAAGGCGTTCGGCCGTTTGTGATACCCATAAAGATTGATTTTTCAAATCATGCGTCGGCATATGAATGTATCAGAATACGGTCAAGTCGATAACAGCTGGGGCATTCACTGTGCTCATCGGAAATGCGTGCTTGGAATCAGACTAACGATGTTGTATTCAGAAAACGTATGATAGCTAGCTTGGTTCATAACTGACGTAATGGTAGTTTGCAGTCTGTGAATGAAAATAACAGATCGTAGAGCCAAGATCATTGAGATACCTCCCAGGAGAGACCAAGTACAAAAGACACGCAAAGGAAAGGAAGGATCCGACTAATCAGGAATCGCGCGAAACCGACAGGCCAGGATAGTTTACCAAAGTATGATCTCCACAATTGGTGTGACGTATGTTTGAACCATCGGAGCAAGGCGTTGCAAGTGAGAGTTGAACCGGTTACCGGTAATGCTGTAGAACCGACAAGACGAAGTGCAGTCACCGATCCTAGCACAGACGACGTCGTCCCCATCCGAGATACCAGCATAGTCTTCAGTGGAAGTACTTGACAGTTTGACCGATCTCATAGTTGTATAAATCAGTGAACGTGGAGCCTGTGGGTCTCTGCGGATAAGAACCTGCTGGACAATTGTACACTTTGACGACTACACCACGCTTTTCAGTTCCTGTAATAGTCAGTATGAGAATGCGTGTGTTCTCAAAAGTCAGGTGACATACTCTTGAATTGCCAGGTGTGCGAGGGTACCCAGTTCCCTCTAGTGAACAGATGGGGCAGAACAGAGGGGAGGTATTCTCGAGAGGTCGTAAAGGCCATCAGAGCTAGAAAAATTGGTAACTCGCCTACAAGTCCACCGTACTGTGGGCTTGAGGGAGCAGCACTAGTGTGGTATATGTCAGGCAGGAGCAGATTCGCCCATGGATCCTGGGGTTGCACACGGAGCATGTTGTATTGACCGGAAGAAGTCAGATAAGACGATTCGGGAGGGTGCTGGTAATAGTTGAACTGCAATTTGTGGAAAACATCGTCACTTGGTGGATTGCGTGCATCTCCTTTCAGGACCCAAAATCCGGCTCCAGATGCGTAATAAACCGAGTACGTCTTGTACCATTGGGCAGTCATTGGGAACATGACTTCGCGTATCTGCAAGCCATCGCAGAGCCAGGTCTTGCCCGAGGCACCCACCCCGGGAGTATAGTTATGACTCGCATTAGGGGCTGTAGTAGGTTGCCATATGCCATGACGATCCAGCTGGTCAGGAGCATCCCCCAGATTCTCGAAGATCTCGTCAACCTGAAAGATGAATGGTGGCTGGAAAGATGGTTTAGCAAACGTCACGTGTTTGAGCCAATGCAACTTACCACTGAATTGGGAG